GGCGTGGGTCTTGGTGGTGATGGCGTGCGTGGAGGCTGCGTTGTAGTGCCTGGCGAGGGGATCGTGGGCTTTGGTGTCGATGGACCTAGCACAAGAGAGAGTTAGCGGAGATCCCTGTCACAAGGAGTCTCTTCACCCAAGGGCTGGCCCGCCAGAGCGGTTAGGTGACACACGGAGAAACCTCCACCACAGCTGCCCCATTCCTTGAATCTGGGCCACAAGAAGGAGATCAACAGCACACTTACCACAGACAGTGCCAGCGCTCCAGTCTCCCAGGGCCACGCCTGCCTCAGCACAGGCTGCGGCATAGGCCCCCAGGTCATTGCAGAGCTGCTCCGTGCTGCCACCCGTGGCACACTGGTCATAGACACAGCTCTCAAAGTACGTCTCGGGTGGCAGGACTGCCCGGCATGGCTGGAACGGGCCACCGGGTTGAGTGAGGATTGCACACTGCTTGTTAGCTGCCTCCTCCTCGGAGGGGGAGCAGGACGCGGGCGGGCTGATGGCTGGGTCACACCTGCAAAGCAGACAGCCAGCCCTGAGCTCACAGTGGACCCCAGCCACACCGTTTCCTGACCTCCTCCCCAGCCAAAACCTCAGCCTCTGGAGTCCAGATCCCTCGCTAAGACAAGGCACCCACGGCTGTCACCTGCACCTGCAGGGGTGGGCAACACGGCCCACAGTCACCATTGCCCTCCGTGGCATCAGGCGGACAGAAACAAATAGGCCGAGGCAGCTGCGATAGCAGCAGCTTGGGAAAAGGATCATGCCAAGGCCCCGGCCCGCTCCCTCTGGGGTCAGGAACAGTGAGATGCGGCGTGTGGACTGGGATGGCAGGGCCCTGCACAGAGGTCACCGAGGACCCCAGAGCAGAGCGCCTACGGGGAGAGAGCAACGTGCACCCTGAGCGCATGGAGCGGGGGCCTGGACGCTGGCACAAGCAAGCCAGCCTTGAGGCAAAAGGGGAACGGCCGCCCGTCTGGCACCCACTTGCAGACAGGACATGCCACTGGTGGGTGGAGCAGAGAGGTGAGACGCAAGGACCGTATGTCTGCTGCTGCCGAGCCTCTACGTGCTCTCACACGCGTTCCCACAACGGCCTGCCTCCTCTCCCTTGCCCCATGCCTGCCATTACCAACCCTCCCTCCTTGTGCCCCTCGCAGCTCCCCTCCCCCACGCTCCCTTTTCTCCATCGTCTACGCGACGGAACAAGGACTCACGGCCACTCATCGTCCGGCACCATCCAGCTGGCTCCAAAGGCACTGAAGTCGGGCACGACAACCCCGTCGGGTCGCATGAAGTCGTCCTGCGGGCTCCCAGTGTACGTCCCACACAGCCCACACAGCTTGCCCTTGTGCTTCTCGGACACCTTCACTAGGAGCTCATGGTCCCCATTGAACTGCAGCTGCAGGCCCAGCTTGGTAGAAACCCGCACGTAGGAGCCACTCAGGGAAATGGTCACTCCGGGGGCAGGAGAAGCAGGCAGGGAGGCCAGAGCACCGTTGACCTGAATGAGGGGGAGAGAGGGAGACAGAAGCATAAAGAGATGCCCTCCACTGAGAGGTCACTGCTCTTCACTGCGATGGTGCCAGGGCCCAGTGAGTCGGAAGCGCTGATGGCACGAGCAACCCTGCCCAGGCCTACGAGAACAGCAGCGACTCTGCGCACGGCGCACCAAAAGCTCGGGAAAACAAGCCAAAAATATGTTGCTGCGCGAGCAGCCATAGCTGGCCCGCTCAGCGCCCCGCCGTGCTCTTCTGTGAGCACGCCGGCAGGCTCAGGGACCGTCAAGCTCTTCTTGCGGACAGAGTGGTACTTAGTGGTGCCTAGGGCACCTGCTGTTCCCAGGTGTAAAACTGAGGGGCTTACGTAGACGGCCTTGTTCTCGCGCAGTGCAATGTGGAGGCCTTCCATGGACAGTGCCACAGAGTTCAGAGCCGTCCAGCTCCGGCTGCCGCGATGTTTGTTGCGGGTGGTGACACTGAACCCAACGGAAGAGTTGTCACAGCCCGTCACCACCGTGTAGTTGCAGGAGCCCTGGAAGTGGTGAAGCTTCCCATCGAAGGTGCTGTAATGCGGGTCGCCGTAGATGTGGCAGAGAGCAGTGCTGGCTGGGTAACAGCCCCTAAGGCCGTTCTGGATCTTGCAGACCTCGTCCTCACCACAGGACAACGCAGAGCAAACCATCTGGCCGTTGGCTTCACAGCGGCACTGGCGAGTGCAGTTCTCGCTCACAGAGTGCTCGCCTTCCTGCAGGCAGAGAAACACCGAGCGTCAGCGTATCAGGCAGGGAAGTAGAGGCAAGGGAGTGCCCTGGGAGGGGTGCAAGCCAGGGCAGGGGTTTCACTCACGCTGTAGTAGTTGCCCTCAAAGAAGCAGCCACAGCGGGCCTCAGGCACACAGGTGTCTCCGCTGAGGAGGAAGCCAGAGGTACATGCACAGCCCTCCACGCAGGGCTTGGAGCAGTTCTGCGGGGCTTGCCGGTCAACACAGGTGGCAGGACAGCCGGTCATGCAAGGGTCATAGTAGCTGTTGGCGGGGCACAGCAGGGCTGCAATGGGAAGGGGACAATTAGGACCAGCAAGCCTTCAAGGAAGGACGGCCTTCTGGGCAGGGGACGACCAAAGACTTGCTTTGGCCAGAGGTTCTGGGCACGGGGAGCGGCACGTTTCCCTCCTGGCAACTGCAAGGCAGGTACTCACGGCAGAAGGTGGCGTTCCTCCAGGGAAGAAGAGTCACGCCGGCTGCCTGGCATGCGTCAGCGTAGGCCTCCAGAGCAGCACACAGGACCTCCTGGCCACCACTCAGGGCACACAGGTCATAGAAGCAGGTCTCAAAGTAGCTCTGGGGGTCGATCACGCCGTGGCACCTCTCAAAAGAGCCAGGCCTGGCGGTCAGCGTGCCACAGAACTGGTCCGATCGGTAGAGCTTCTCCTCTTCCGCACTGCAGGGTGGGGAGGGGACGGGGACACCGCAAGAGGAGTCGTTGTCTGGGACCTGCCAGCTCTCCCCCAGCGCATTGGAGTCTGCGGCTTGCTGCCCGTTGGGCATCATGTAATCGTCCTCTCTCCGGTTGTTGAAGTTCCCGCACATGCCACAGGTCAGGTTGAAGTAGGTGGTGGGCACCTTCACCTCCACCGAGTGGTCAGTGTCGTAGGACACTCTGAGGCTGAAGTCTGTCTCCAGGACGATGTAGCGGCCGCTCCTGCTCACCGTGACGGCACCTCCCGCTGCGCTCACCGGCAAGGTCCGGCGCAAATTGTTCACCTAGGGCAGACACACCGCGATGGGCCCTGGACTTGTCCCTGGCCTCCCTGGGGTCTCCCGCCCCAGGGAAACCAGCTGCCAGGCCGGGCACGGCAAAACGGTGCCCACGGTGCCCTCACGCCCAGGCGCCCCTGTGGCTTGCAGAGCCATGTCTGTGTTCTGCACTCTGCAGGGGCCTCTGTTCAACACGGGCCACGCTCCCCGTTTGCGTCTTCCTCCTCCAACCCCTCCGGAAAGGAAAAGCAAAGCAACGCAACCCGGTGCCTTCAGGGGAACCCACCCGGGCCTGGGACAATGGAGATGTCTGCTACACGCCAGGCCCTGCCAAGGAAAGCCAGCCCTGCCTTGCAGCCGCGCCACGCTCGTGCCAGCCCCGCTGCCTACCAGCACTTGGCTCTTCTCCTTCTTGACAATGGCAACGCGCTCTCCGTACACCTCAACCAGGACTTCGCGCACGTAGGACACTCTGGTGTTCCCGCGATGCTCGTTCTTGGCCTCAACATTGAAGTAGGGCAGGGAAGTGGTGCTGGAGCACACTTTGGCCAGGGTGTAGGTGCAGCTGCCCATGAAGCTGTGCGTCACCTTGTCAAAAGTGTTGTAGTGAGGGTCACTGTGGACGTGGCAGATGCCGTAGGAGTGTTTGAGGCACTCAGGTTTCCCATCCTGCACCCCGCAGTACTGGCCCGCAGGGCACGAGGCATTGGAGCACTGGACTTTGCTTCCCCGCGCGGGACACGTGCACTTTGAGGAGCAGGTGCTGTCCGTCCAGAACTCCGAGCCCACGGGGTAGTGCTGCCCCTTGTGCCAGCACCCGCACTGCTGGCTGGGCACGCATCGGTCGTTGTAGAGCAGGTACCCGCTGTCGCACACGCAGCCCTCCACGCACGGCAGGCTGCAGGTAGCAGGAGCCATTGGGTCAACACAGGTGGCAGGGCAGGCTGCAGCACAGGGCTCGTAGTGACTGTTGGC